AAAAAAAATCTAAATATTGTTCAGCAGTCATTTTTCTAATAATTAATTAAGTATATACATCCTGCGACTTGGGTCCAGTTTCTGCGTTTGCCCAAACAAAAGGCGTTAACTCCTTCCAAGCTCACCATCCGACGTGGCACCGCGTTTTCTTTCTCCCTTACGACGGCGTTTACCAGTCTCTCGCGGTTTCTTTCTCCTTTAGATCTCTTTTCTTTCTCTCATACCCCCCAATAATTTTCCCAGAAAATTAACTTGCGGTCTTGTAGAATCTCCTTTTCCCAAAACCCTAGTTTGGATTTAGTTCTTCCAATTTTGGATGGATTTTGTTCCCTATGCAGTACTTCCCTCGATTCTTTTCTCTTAGAGAAGGATCTGCAGCCATGGATTCCAAGCGGAGCCGCAGCAAGCCCAAACTCGAGCGACGCAATGCAGCCAAACACATCGAGTATGAAGCGGCGTTCTCTTCTTCTTCCCTCAATGGTTCTTCTACGTCGTCGTCGTCGTCGTCTCCTCTCATAACGCGATCACTCGATTTGTCCGACAAAACCAGCTTCCGTATACAGGGTACTGACGGTGAGTTCCTCAGAATTTGTCAGAGCCTTGGTCTTAGCGGCCCTGAGGATTTTGCGATCCCTGCAGCCGTTTGGGAGGCCCGCAAAACTCGCTCCTCTTCGGAGCTTCTGCCGAGGTCTCGGTTGAACCGATTGGATAGTCCGGAGGAGGATGAGCAGAAAGAGAAAGGTGAAACTGATGGAGTAGTAGCTGAATTGTGTGACAGAGTGGTAGATAGTGTTAGAATCGTTGACGGTGCTGGGTTGACTCGGAACGATTCGTCTGCGTTCGATGAGTTCGATTTTCGCGAGTGCTGCATTCTTCCTAGAACCAGAATTGGGGATCGTAGCCAGTCAAAGTTTCTTTCGAATGCTGCTGGTGGTGGTGGTGGATCTGGGGGAAACGGAATAAAGGGGTTAAGGCCTGCCGTGCTTAAACCGCCACCAGCAATGAGGCTGCCAGTGATCGATGGAACATGCTCGACGTGGGACCTATTTAGAGATTTTGCACCTCAGGATAATCGATTGGATCCTATAAGTTCTGATGATGAGGAAGATGAAGGAGGATGTGAAACAGAGGAAGCGGTTGTCGAAGAAATTTGCTTGAAGGCAGTGGAAGAGGAGACTGGGGTAAGGATCGGGGAGACTGCAGTGCTATCTGAATCGTGTTCCTTTTCTACCTCAAATGATGATGATTCTTCCAGTACCACAACGGAGCCTATGTCCAACATTTCTCCCAATGGCAGGTTCAAAAGGAATATTACTTGTTGGGAGAAAGGTGGGCTCCTGGGCAGTGGGTCCTTTGGATCCGTTTACGAAGGGATTTCTGGGTAAGTACTGATATGCTGCCTGTTCCATAAAGTTAAAACCTTTTTTTTTTTCCATATATGGTAGTTATTTCAGTTTAATTTCCATGAAACAATCAGCATTTTATCTATTAATTAGTTATTTACTTTACATGATTTTGTTGTT